ATTATTATTATTATTATTATTATTATTATTATTATTATTATTATTATTATTATTATTATTATTATTGGTTAAAACTCCTAGAATTCCCTCTGCCAGCAAAACCTTGGAGTTACAGTCCAAAAAAACTAACTTTTTTCTTTTTTTCTAATTTTTTTTATTATAGTATAATATCACATTACTTACATAGTCTTTCAGTAGATTGTCTTTCTTTATACATCCACTAGTTCATATTTTAACATACTTAATGGTTTTTAAAATATTACATAGAAGCAAATCCAAATTATCACATTCTTCTTTTCTTGAGCTAGTTCCATATGTTAATAATGGCTGCCATGTTTTCATACATTTATCCTGTTTTATTTCCCCTCTATATACAGTATTTTAATTTGATTGGTCTGCTTTTCCATCAGGACCATTTGCCAGATTCTGTTCTCAAATTTTTGCACTGAAAGATCTTGAGCATTTCTCCAGTTTTGTGCAATTTCAACTCTTGGTGCACCAATAAGATGTGCAATTAGGACTTTATTGAACAATGTTTCATTTCCGTTCTTAAATATTGAAAATAATAATAAAGCTTCATTTTTAATTGTTTTTAATTCAACAATGTTTCTATCCATTTAATTATGTCCCGCCAATATGCTTCCACTTTTTTCAAGTTCTGATTTGGTGTGACCAAGTCTCCTTCTGCTGATTCTTGGTATCATTAAAAATATTCACCTGTTATGTTACTGTTTACATGCTTGCTTTGTTTACTCGCTTAAAAAATTCTGAATTGCCCTGGAACTGGTGTGGTGTCATCCCAAAAAGTAACCTATTCCATGTTCTGACAATGTTTAGCATTATAAAGTCCTTTTGATTAGCAGGTGCAATGACACTGGTGATGCAATAACAGTTGATGTTTTGGGTTATATGCCACCCCATAGTTCTAAAGCACTCTCTGGGTGGTTTGCAACATAATTATGCAAACAACACTTTGCCCCCAGTGAGCTGGGTACTCATTTTACTGACCTTGAAAGACTGAGTCAACCTTGAGCTGGCTACCTAAATCCATTGGGATCAAACTCAGGTTGTGAGCAGAGACTTGACTGCAGTACTGCAATTTAACCACTGTGCCATGGGGCTTTTCATTTTCCATGGCTCAATGCCATGCAGGTGGACGTTCTTGGTCTTCTGATAGTGATCAACTGAAATGGGTACAGGAGAGAACTCAAACATCGCTGATTCCTCAGCTGAGTTATTTAGAGGAGCTGTCTGTCTTCCATTTTGATTTGCTGCCCTCCATTTTGTGTTGCCACTGCTGTTCCTATGGTTCAGAGATGGACAAAGGACATGCAAGCTGCAGTATGTTTTTGGAACACAAAGGGAGCTGGAGGCAGATGTTGCTTATCATATGACACTAACAAGCTTATTTACTTCAGTTGTCCATAGGTAAAGGTAAAGGTTGACCTTGACATTTAGTCCAGTCGTGTCCAACTCTAGGGCACTGTGCTCATCTCTGTTTCCAAGCCGTAGAGCGAGCATTTTTGTCCGAAGACAGTTTCCGTGGTCACGTGGCCAGCACGACTAGACACGGAATGCTGTTATCTTCCCACTGAGGTGGTACCTATTTTATCTACTCGCATTTACATGCTTTCAAACTGCTAGGTCGGCAGGAGCTGGGACAAGCGACGGGAGCTCACTCCGTCGTGTGGATTCGATCTTACGACTGCTTGGTCTCCTGACCTTGCAGCACAAAGGCTTTTGTGGTTTAACCTGTAGCGCCACCACATCAGTTGTCCATACCTGAGCTTATAATGGCAGGATACTTATACAGGTGTAGTTCACATGCCAGTATCACTTTTCAAAGTATAATGTAGTAATGATGGAATACCCAGCTGCAACTTATTAGTGTAATCAGCCAGAACTGTATAAAGAT